GAGGCGGGGAGGGGGTGGTGGTAGGTTAAGAGTAGAATCGGTTCTAGAGAAGGCGTTTTAATTCATTTCGAGTAAACCTTACGCTCTCAAATGCACGAGAGTGGAAAAGAAGGCTTTAGATTAATAACTGATAGGATGCGTCCACTCTTGGCCAATATTGGCCAGTCTTTTCCTTTGGCTAATACGTTGCGTTTGTTAGGGCTTTTCACTATTTTTGCGGTAAGCGATGTATTGAAATTGGTTTTGTTACTTCATGGCCTTTACTCTTTCTGATGAACTATTTACGTATTGATATATGCATTTTTTCACTTGACAAAATCGCTTAACTGAGAAGTATTCATTGAGGGTAAAGCCATTATTTTTCGAACACACTAATTTTGCAATTTTCATTATTTCTCAGATGTAGAAAATAGTGTCAATACATCCACGACTTCTTGTAAATTTTAAACTTTGAATTGAGGCTAAAGTCTGAGCTTCAAGTTTGAGTGTCTTACCGTCTCCTGTTTCCTGAGGGATTTCAGGCTTGCAGGGTTTAGATCATATGTACCGTGTAATGCATTAAGGTGGTTGATCAACCATTTTCGTGGGTAGTTTTCTCACAATTGATAAATGCCAGTTTTTCACTCCTCCATACAACAATTCGACTTTTTCTCATTTCAGAAGGACTAATCGTTCAAATGGATCAGAATAATAACATCAATAATCTTCCCAATAACAACCCATTTTCATTGTAAGTTCTCATTAATTTAATGATATAGTCGTTCTCAGGTATTGGAGATCTTTTCTACCTGTAATTTAATAGCACATTAAAATATTATCTTTGGACTTGTGTTTAATTTCTAAGGGTTATTGTTTATGAACACATTAGTTGAATTTCAGAAATGTTTCTCAACATTTTTATTTTTTTCTCTTTTCAGTCAACAACCTGCGGCTCTTCTACAAATGCTTAAGTAGGTGTCAAAATGGTCATTACCGTTCTAACACTTTTGATATAATAATTACACCTGCCTTTTTATGTTGTAGTGCTCTCGCTCAAAACCTAGCTCAAAACTATCTTCCTGATGCTTCTAATGGGCACTCTGCAATGTAAGTCTTTTATTTGTGTCTTTATGTGGTGGTGCATCAATGACACTAAACTTATCAAAACTAATTTATTTCCTTAATCTAGGCCATTCAGCCTCTACCCTACTTCTGCTCCTCGACTACCAGTCAACCCTCCGGCCATTGAGTAAGACGGCAAATATTTAACTTGCTACAACAATGTTGATATGATGTAATGATATTATCTTTCTCTACAATTACAGCTCGTCTAGTATTCAACAGTCTAGTCTAGCAGCATTTAACTCGCTCCAAAGTATGGGTCAAATAGATCTGAATCCGAGATCAAGGTTAGTCTACTATGAGGTCCATTGAAGTCATTTTAATCGGTTAACTAGTTTTTTTTTATATTCTAGTTATCCAGTTATGCTTGGTAATAGAGCAAGCATGGGGTATGTTTAAAAGAAAATATCAAATCTTTTTGCTTTAATTTAATTATCCATAATATGTATTCGTTAGAACGATTCAGCAAGGTGTAGGAAGCATCGTAAACAATCAAATGAATAGTGCTAGTGGTCAGTCAAGCACCAGGGACTCCAGCTGGCTGAAACTGGCAGTTTGTCCGACATTTTTGGCCGGTAATTGTCCACATTCTCGAGACGATTGTGAAGGTGCTCATCCTGAGCCAAATATACGGATGGAAAACGGCACGGTGACTGTCTGTTTCGATCACATGAAGGTATATTAATGGGAAACTGGGAATAAAACAGGTCGAGTCATGTTATAGTGCTGAATATGTCTTTTTTGCAGAGAGGTGAATGCAAACATCCCAGCTGCAAATATTTTCACGTCTCCGACAAGCAGAAATCCATCGTAGAGAAACAAGGTGGCAGTCATAGACCGAGCAGCTCGATTTCGACAACTATCACTCCTGTAAGTGTTTCTAGAATGGTGTGAGAAGATAATTTCCATTCCTCTGGAATGTTATGTTTTTTTAAAAAAAATGTAGGGACCATCTGCATCTCAACCAATAAACTTCCCCTTCGGGACCACATCCACTTCTTTTGCCCATCCCAAAATTACTACAGAGGCACTTTTAGCTGCGGTACGTCTTTATTATTTACTTTATAAGTAGCTGTTAAATGAAAAAGTATTGAGTGAGATAATTGTGAGTAGGTGTAAAGGTGTAATCAGAGGTTATATGAAAGAAAAAAACTTATAATTCATCTCCTTAATTAGGTCTTTCTGGTCTTGAATCTTTGGGGGAGTGGTGAGTTATTGCAATTTTATGCAAGCAAAACAAGCACTGGCTTTTGCTGCGCTGTACTTCCTTCCTCATATTTTAACTATGGTAAATTCATTTTGTGTCCGGTTGCCAATGCTTCCCCTCTGTCCTTTATGGTGTTGTAAAAGTATATTCGGTTAAGTTCCACGCATTATTCCCAATCAATATGTGCATTCACCCTAAAAGGATTATATTAAGAACACTCTTTCCCCATTGGAGGGCTGTATGCTTTGCAGTAAAGTGCTTACTAATGAAAGAAGTAATTTGAAGTAGGAGAGCTTAAAAGGCGGGAATTGTGGTCAAATCGATTAAGTGTCACTGAATTTGAACTCTCAAGAGAAAAGTAGGGGGAAATTTTGGCTTTTCCTATTCTGTATTTCACAAGCCCTAAAAAGTAGATTGAAAGGGGTAATATTTCCAACTCTAGAGTTGTGGAAATCGAGTTATGAAAAGCAATTAAATTCAGCTCAGATATTTATGAAGTAGAAATATTACTCCTATTATATAGATTAGCATTTTATTCATTAGTCGTCAGCTTACACTAAAAGTGACCACTTTGGGAATATATCGTGAAAACTCATAACCGGTAGCTAAGCAGTTTGGAGTAGTTAAGCAGTTTTGGTCTTGTAACCCATGCCACAATTCGGAAGAATTCGAACGTTCAAATGCTATACCTGCTGCTGATTTTGTGCACAATGTTCCCATTTTAAATTATTATTTTTCATTCTACCATGTTGCATGCGCTATTAACCAGCTACCTCTGAGTGTATCTGTGTTAAGCTATTTCTTTCATTACGATTCTATTTAAATTATTAACACTTATCACTTACAGCATTTGAAATGATTGCACATTTAAACATTGGAATCACTCTCGAAAAGAATGATTGAATACAAAATTTCTAATTTCGATCGAGAAAACCAGCCTAATATTTTAATTTAATTCGACATGATAGTACGCTACAGCAGGTTATACCCTAACAAAAATGATGTATTATAATTCATAGGTACTGTAAATTATAGGAATATGAGTAGGAATAAGAAGCATTCATTAGTTTGACGCTATTTTTAAAGAATAGTTTGAGAGGAATGAGATATTTTATTAGATAAAATGAGTTATCGAGGAAGACATTTTTCAGCCTAATTTAGCGGAAAGAACTTTGTTTAGTGAATTAAATTATTGGATGATTGAGATCGTGTTGGAAACCACTTGTTTGCGCTATTGGTTTCATTTGGATTTTTAATTTGATGGCTAATTCGCTTGCCTTTTTTTCTATTGTCGTATTTTAAAGTTGAAAAGTGGAGGACAGTCTCCATTCCCTCAAATGCCAACATTGAATCAGCCCCCCCTTGTGCCCTATTTACAAAACTTTGCTATGGGACAAAACTTTCAGGGGAACACTCCAATAGCGTATGCACCAGGCTTACCACTGAGTGACCCTTCGTTTCTTTCTTTGGCTACTCATCAGACAAAATGTTTCCCTGAATTTTCAATTGAAAGTGCTCTAAACCCTGCTCTTGGAACTAAGCGTCCTGCTGATAACAATGGTTCTGATTTATTGGTGAGTTCTCTACAATTTACGAAATAATATTTATCAATGGTAACTCAAATGGTAAACTTTAAGAGACGTTAAGAGTAAATGGCAGCTACTTCTACTTTATTCAAAAAACATTGTGACTGAGGACCTATGTATTTCTAATTATCTAGAGAAAATTGATTCAATTTTATTCAAAGGCAAATGTTTTGAAACGGGGACCTAGTGCTAAATGCTTCTGAACCCGGTTAAGACAAATGAGTCTAATGACCTTTAAAAAAGCATATTTATGGGCAAGGGAAGTGTAATGTAGTAGTCAAACTAAATAAACGAATGTTTTACTTGCAGACACCATCATTAAAACGGCAATGTCTGGAATCAGCCCCACCTGCAATGCCAAACCAATATTTGAGTGGAGACGCCCCCACAAGTGCACTTTATTCTACACAGCCACCCGGCGGAAACTATAGCTCAAACAGTGCCAGTTGTTCCACTGCATATCCTCCTTCCACAACCAATTGTAACTTTTCTTCAATTATTGTAAATATAAGAAAACATCGCAATTCATGAGGTTTAAATTTCCTTCCAGTTACTGCTTTACCGGAAACCAGCGGAGTTCAATTATATCAAACTCGATGTGCTTTTTTTACCGAAGATGGAAAGGTCTGTACTAAAACAAATTCAGTAGCATGATAATTAATTTAAAATTTATATCAAATGGCAGGCGTTTTGATAGTTATCATTAGCCCTTTAGTTGACTTCAAGCTTCATAGAGGGAGAGGAACATCAAAGCGAAAAAAAGTCGAGAGGGGGAGGAGGAGCAGAAGAGTATTTTAAAAACGTAAAAGCGGCAGACACAACGGTAGAGAAGGAGTGAGATAAGTACTGTGGAAGTGGTCGAGTGTGACATACAGTCGGGTCATGGTAGTTTGGAGTTAGAAGTCAACTGCCGGTTAATAGACTTTTTGCCGTATGCGTATACGTTGTCCAGGGTGCACCACGTGGAGGTTAGTCTATCGCACACCCCATAATTTAAACTTATTAACCATGAATAATTTGATTGTAGACTGTAGAATCGGTGGAAGTATGTCGTGATTTTTTAGCGGGCAGATGTTCGCGGGCTGCCAACTGTAATTACTTGCATGTCGAAAATGGTAAGTCATTGTTTTGATGTGTGTTTTATATAAGTTCGGTTGGTTTTGCTTTTCAGTAATGGTTTTTTATTACCCACAGTGAAGAACTTTGATGTTGTAAACAACAAAGTGCAAATCTGTCCTGATATTATTTCAAGTCAATGCAATCACGACAAGTGTCGGCGCTATCATATTCCATTGGAGATTTGGGCTAAATATGTGACTGTTCGTGGATGCGATAACAACGAGCAGCCCTCCGAAAAAATGCCTGAAAATGCTGCTGCCGATTTATCTTCCACTATTAATAGAATTATTCCTACCTCCAGTTCTGCTAAGTTTGATGGTGAATTTCAGTCGCTTGGTAAGGAGGGTGCGCCTCAATCTCCACAGTCATCTGACCATCAACCTCTATGAGGTGATCCTCTGATGGGGTGCTTATGCGTATGCAATTTTGGAATTTATTCAGTTTTGGTTTTAACTGTCCTAAATCATGAACAATGTATCAATAAATTTACGTGTATGTTGATTTATCTTTTAATTGACAATGCTTTGTTAAATTTTATGAAATTAGGTTAAGTGGAAATTATTCTCAAGCCCTATCTAGCGAAAACCAAATATGTTTCCAATTAAATTTGGAGACGAGAAAACCAAAATTAATGAGTGTAGTCATTTCCCATTCTTATTATTTTACATTTGGATAAGGTATTTGTGAGAGTAATAATTATTAATAGTAATGCACATCAGCCCTGACGCGAGAATAAATTAAGAATCTAACCTATACAACCGGACCGTAAGGTGTGAACAGGTGTAGGAATTGCTGCACAGGTATCAGCCTTAAAGGCATTTGATAAAATTGTCGATCCTG